GGGAAGCCAGTCCCCACACATGACTGTGTAAACAGATGTAGGTCCCCACAAGTATAGTAATGCTAGACCACACACACACACACACACACACACACACACACACACACACACACACACATACACACACACACACACACACACACACACACACACACACACACACACACACACACCTCCTCTGTCGACGCCTGTCAATCAATGTCTCCTTTGTCAGTGTCGGCCAATCCCATGTCGCTGTTTCCCGGGGATCGTTTGATTGACAGGCAGGGGAGCAGAGAGCTGGAGGTGGAGGGGATTAGAGTCGATCAGGGGGAAAGGGTGTGTGTGTGTGTGTGTGTGTGTGTGAGTGTGTGTGTGAGTGTTTGAATTGAGGCGTACAACAATGGCACCAAGGACAAAATAACATGAAATGTTTACTATTTCTTGTTGCACTATTATTTTTTACATTTATTTAATATCTTGTTAGATTATTGGAACAATCTAAGACTCAAGCTGTTCAAGAACATGTTTAGTATCTTTTAAATTAATTCCGCGATAAGTAGAGATAATTGTATACATTTATACAAATTGCCAATTCAAGAGATTTGTTAACTCAAGTTTTTAAGGCAGCAACTTATTTTCCAATTAAGTATTTATAAACATATTTAAATGTGCAGTTGTTTTTCATTACACTATACAGTATTCAAATTAACATTGTGTTATCTTATTTCACCCTACATGCATATAGTGGACCTATAACTGCATTATACTTGCACTACTTTCCCTTTTCTCTTGCACTATACATTCCTTTATTTATATTTCTTAAGTAAATTGAATGTTTCACTGTTGGAGGAGCTTCAGACTTCATTTCAAAAACTGTAACCCTTATGCTTATAATAACAATAACGCCTGTGCATCTTGAATCTTGAGTGAGTGTGTGCCTGCATAAATGTGTGTGTGTGTTGGTGGATGTTAATGTGTGTTTGCCGGTGTGTGTGTGTGTGTTTGACAGCCAGTGTGAAGGAGACGCAGCAGTACGGCCGTCAGGCAGCCTGCCGCTTCCTGTCTGCTTTAATTGCATGTAGCCCTGGAGACACACACACACACACACACACACACACACACACACACACACACACACACACACACACACACACACACACACACACACACACACACACACACACACACACACACACACACACACACACACACACACACACACACACACACACACACCCAGGGAAGCCCTCTACACAGCAGTGCTGACAAAGAGACGAGGCTTACACGGCTAAGATGGGGCTGAACACTGAAGTCTTTCACTGAGGAGACTCGATAAAGCTGACGGAGGAGAGAGAGTCTCCCCCCTCCTCCCCCCTCCTCCCCCCACATATAAGCAACATGAGCGTTTTTTTGTTTGAGGAATAATGCGTAAACACAGACTTAACGTGTGTGTTTTAATTTGCATTTTCCAATTAGAGGGAACATCGGGGGCAAGGAACCGTGAAGATACGTTTGTCACTCTGAGGAAAAGCTCATATTTGATGTAGATAGAGGGGAGGTGGATCGTTAAAATGTCAGCCTGTCATTGGACGTGTTGACTGACAGACTTTTAGAAACAGCCTTTCATTGAGTGACAATGTTATATTTCATTTAGCTGGAGCTTTCAAAAAGACAGAATCCTGCATTAGCTTTCAATAAGCCAAACCATTGTGCATCGGCTTCAAGTAAGCTTCCTAAGTGCTCCACGCAGAAGAGAGACTAATTTGAACGTATTATCATGTTCAGTTTAAATACTGTGGCTGCTGTTATCAAGGTGGAGCGAGCACCATTTTGGAGCCAGGGTAGAAAAGCAGGCGTGTTTTTTGTAGTTAATGTTAATTCAATGTTTATCTACATTATTAATATCAATCCCCCAGGAAGAGTGCAGGCACATCTCCGTAGCGGACGAATGGTTTTACTTACTTTTGTTTTATAATATATTCAAACATTAGACTAAGCATGGTTGATATTAGAATGTACTTTTGTTAGGAATCATTTAGGTCGGTTTTTGGCAGAGAAAGCCATTTAGTTTTCTTTGTTTTTTGAGTGCAGATGTGTTTGACTATGGGTAGAGATATATATATTTGTTTACATTACTTGTTAGACGCTTTTATCCAAAGCGACTTACAAACTCAATACTGAGGTCAATCCCCACAGGAGCCATTTGTGGTGAAGTGTCTCAGGGACACAACGACATGCTGACTGCAGTGGGGTTTGAACCTGTGCCCCCCTGAACCCAACACCAACCGAATTGTTGACATATACTGTATGTCTAAGAGTGTGCAGAGGGTCAAATTGGACCCATTTCTAAATGTGATTATGTCAGAAAGAGGGGTGATGTCAGCTAGTTGCCAGAAAAATAACATAATTAGAACTACTTTCATTGAATTAAGCGTGTATTGCTTAAATTAAAAGCATCTGCCGTCATTATGTGCTGCCATTAAAACAATTCAATGGTTTCACAACAGAATAAAGTGTCCATCGAGACATGTTCCTGTAATCCAGGCAAATAATGCACATTTTAATGCCTTTTATAACTCAAAATGTTGGTTTGGTTTTGCGTAATTGACGTCTATTGAGCATATATTTGACATATTTGATAACAGATGATAAAACTTGGTGGTAATGAGTTGGAATAAAGTTGGCTTCAAAGGTGTAACCAATATTTGGGTTATTATTTATACTATTAGTCAAACAAGGACTAAAGTTGCACAGCTGACAACATGAAGGTTAATTAAACATCCTTGTTGTTTCCAAAAAGTCTATAAAGTGAGTTATTTCTCATCATTTTGAATCAATGTTCATCCCAATTAGCCAGAAGTACACTCTGAAAATGATGATCATCCTGAATTATAAGTCTCTGGTGTGGAGGTAAACCTCTGACGCAGCAGCAGCTCAGTCTATTTCAGGAGTTTAAAAATCCCCAGAGGAGGGGGAGAGCATGAAATGTAAGCACTTAGGGGAAGGGGCCGGGCTCATTATAAAATCGATGCCCACAGGACCACTCTCATTTAAAAACATGCTGGGAGAAAAGGTCAGAAGGAGAGAGACGGAGAAATCTCAATTTAATTCTTTGCTCAAAAAGCCACTTAATATTGGCTTGTGTAAATTAAATTTCACACCCCGCTATTCTGGCCAAAGGATAATTACAGCAAGCAGAGGAGAGGGGGGGGGGGGGGGGTACTCAAAAAACCTGTTGGATTGGTAAAATGGCTTCATATGTCAAACAACAAATTATAGCAGCAATCAGCATAAATCCAGTCTAAAAACACACGGTTGTTTTAAGAGGCCCCGTTATATTGAACTTTATGATTGAAAAAAGGATTTCTGCTATAGTTATGTTATATTTGTCAGACTTTTCCTATTATTTTATAAGGAAAAAGAAAAAACACTCGTTCGGTTGAACTTGTAACGACCAGTAAATCAATGCAATGTGGTAACAAGGGGTCGCAACAATTGCAGGACTTAATTTGAAATAGAAATTGTCAAAAACATTTGGGAACCAACCGTCTTATCAAACCAAATCCTGCATGGTTTATGAGAGTAGCAAAAGAACGGTGGTGACGTGAAGTCATGTGACCGTGCTGTAGTTCCTTTAGAGCCCAACATTAACTTTTTACTTCTGGAGATTGTATTTTACGCTTCAAAATTCATCAAGTGGTGTTAGTAGTGGGAAGTACAAATACTTTGTTACTGTACTTAAGTATACTGTTCTGGTATCAGTACTTTACTCCACTACTTTTTACTTTTACTTCTTACATGTTGAACTCAAATACCTGTACTTTCTACTTCTTACATGTTGAACTCAAATACCTGAACTTTCTACTTCTCTCATGTTGAACACAAATACCTGTACTTTCTACTTCTTACATGTTGAACTCAAATACCTGTACTTTCTACTTCTTACATGTTGAACTCAAATACCTGTACTTTCTACTTCTTACATGTTGAACACAAATACCTGTACTTTCTACTTCTTACATGTTGAACTCAAATACCTGTACTTTCTACTTCTTACATGTTGAACACAAATACCTGTACTTTCTACTTCTTACATGTTGAACTCAAATACCTGTACTTTCTACTTCTTACATGTTGAACTCAAATACCTGTACTTTCTACTTCTTACATGTTGAACTCAAATACCTGTACTTTCTACTTCTTACATGTTGAACTCAAATACCTGTACTTTCTACTTCTTACATGTTGAACTCAAATACCTGTACTTTCTACTTCTTACATGTTGAACTCAAATACCTGAACTTTCTACTTCTCTCATGTTGAACACAAATACCTGTACTTTCTACTTCTTACATGTTGAACTCAAATACCTGTACTTTCTACTTCTTACATGTTGAACACAAATACCTGTACTTTCTACTTCTTACATGTTGAACCCAAATACCTGTACTTTCTACTTCTCACATGTTGAACTCAAATACCTGTACTTTCTACTTCTTACATGTTGAACTCAAATACCTGTACTTTCTACTTCTTACATGTTGAACACAAATACCTGTACTTTCTACTTCTTACATGTTGAACTCAAATACCTGTACTTTCTACTTCTCTCATTTCCCAAACAGCTGGTTCCTTTAGTCTGAATGTGTGTTTGGTGCGTGATCATTATTCTTTAGAGTCATTGCGTGCCTATTGATTTGAACACGATCCATGTATCCATCATTTCCTGGTCTTCTCTAAAGAAGAGGGACCAATGGAAACGTTGTCATGTTGCCGTTGTTCAGCATGGAAACATTCATTAGCTAACAATGACATTATTGTTCTATTGATATAAAGGGAGGTCAGGTACTCTTTAAAACAGCTGCTAGTTATGGGTACTTTTTACTGAAGTACATTTCAAAGCCTCTTTACTTTGACTTAAGTAAAGAAGTTTAGTCAGTACTTCTACTTTCACCAGAGTATTTTTAAGCACGAGTATCTGTACTTCTACTTAAGTAAAGGATGTGCTTGTCTCCTACCTGATAGGTGGAGGTAGCATCGTTCCCGGTGTCTGTTCCCAGGTTGGTGAGCTTCTCCTTCAGCTTGTGGTGGGATCGATGGCGGAGGCAGTAGATGACGGTGGAGCCTAGCAGAACGGCCACGATGCACAAGATGGAGACCACCGTGAGCACCAGGAACTTGGTGGACTCCGCCTGGCTGTACTTGGTGGGAATCTGCTTGATCTGGCTTTCCTGTGGACCAAAAAGAAACAGAAACAAAAGGTTAATAATATGGTTTTATTTTTTATATTTGATAAAAAAAATTGTGATTCTCTGTGCAGATCAAACAGGTACAGTGTGGTACTTTCACAGGTAAGATATACAGGAACAAATACTCACTCAGGGTTACAAATATGTGTTTTTGAAATATTGTATCAAAAATGAGCGATTCTCTGTGCGTTTATAAAATTACCATTTATCAAAGTCAACTTTATTGTCAATCTGTCAGTTTGTGTGTACAGACAGAGAGATCGAAATACCGTTTCCCACAATCCCGAATACAAATATATATAACAATATGTATATCCTATATATATACACAACAGACAATATTTACTTATCACAACATAATGTAAGTTTGCAGGCTGTTAAACTAGGATATCTGATCTTTGACGCTTGAGACAGACCGTATGTACTATTTCAAAGCAAATGTACTTTCACAGGTAATATACACAGCTCATATAAATACCACACATTATCATTTAGGTAAAGTATTTCAATTCATTGCACTTGATTGCAGTCAAACTCTTTTTTTATTGCAATACTTTTCCACAAATCCAGATGAAAATAGGGTCCATAAAATGTCTCATGATGGTCGAATAAAGAGGGGGGAAGCACAACTCTGTACCTTGAAGGAAACGATACGATAACAACGGGTTCAAGACCCTTTAAGGAACATTGGATCTGGGATTGCCTCTGCATTTCATTTTAAGATTTCACTGGTGCATAAAAACTGTCTGTCATTCGATGGAGTGTTTGATTGCAGACGTTCAGTGCTTTGAAACACATTCACCCCCCCCAGATTAAAGCAACCAAAATCACCATCATATTTAAATGTCACTGTGATTTCTCCAACTCCCGGACGTTGAAGGCTCTGATTGTCTTTGCTTCCTCTGATTTCCCCCCAAAAAAAACTTTACATGAAAGTATGAATCACATGGTTCCTTTTTGGAGAGACATAAATATGCATATCACTATGCTCGATGAAAAGTGCAATCACAAGCGTTTGTTCCACCATCTGTGCCCAGGACACACACACACACACACACACACACACACACACACACACACACACACACACACACACACACACACACACACACACACACACACACACACACACACACACACACACACACACACACACCGTTGTTTTTGGAGGGAATTTCCGACGGTTGTGAGTCGAGGCGACAGAAGTTCTGCCGTCTCGAGAAAGTGTCTCGCCAATTTCGACCTTTAATCTCGTGCGTGAGAACCAGATCCTTCAGCAAACAACTGGAGATGAAAGATTTCTTTTCACACGGTCCGCTGCTTCAACACAACGGACACGCACTGTAGGAAAACACTGCTTCTTGAGAGTGTGTAAAAAATTAATCGTGGAAGTAATTCCTATTGAACTGCGGCTCGAGCAGCTGTTGGTTTTCAGACCTGCTGAAGATAATGGGCCTGTTGCGTTCTACCTGACAACTAAAGAGTTAACAATAGGCGCCATAATTCCCCGTTATTACACACTGCGTAATGATCCTGACAACAAAGAGGAAAAGGAAGAAGAAGAGCTACAAATTGCAGCGCAGATGACAAGGCACACGATTCCTCCTGACACTGAATTACCAAAAGGAAATCGATGGCAAAAACACGTATTTTGGGGCGAGGAACAAGCGTCTTTGAGGCACAGTAAAAGATGTCCCCTCTTTACTGGCACAGAAGAGGAGTCTCTCGCTGAACATTCTGATAGTAACTTTATGCTGCAGGACATATTCTGTCCATTATCAGGTTCATATTAGTATGTCTCCATGGGACATGTCTCCATGGGACATGTCTCCATGGGACATGTCTCCATGCTTTGATGTTCACAAAGCTCTTTATTTCTCTCGTACTGCCTGTGCTGCAGCACCTCTTTTCACCCTCTGTCTGAAACCAGAGCCCAGTCTGCTCTGATTGGTTAGCTGGCTGGCTCTGTTGTGATTGGTCAACCAGCTTAGAGATGTCCCGCCCCTTAGCCTATCATGTACAATGTGTTGGAGCGCTAGCCAATAGAAGCATGAGTGTTTCATAGTGATGTCACTTTTTTGTAGAAGTGAACGAAGGGGTCCGATGGAGGCGTTTCAGGCAGGGGGGGGGGCAGAGAGATTTTAGCCTTTGCAGACCATTTACATGCACTAAAAGCTATATAACACACTACAGGAAAGGGAAGCCCAAAAAGCATAAAAGGGCCTCTTTAAAAAAATGTAGTGGAGTAAAAAGTACAATCAATGCTTCCAAAATGTCGCGGAGTAGAAGTATAAAGACGCATACAATGGAAAAACTCAAGTAAAGTAGAAATATGACATAATAGTACTTAAGTACTTGAGTAAATGTACTTAGTTACTTTCCACCACTGCCAATTAAGATATATTGATCAAAAGCTTTAAAGTGTTCGAGCAGTGCCGACGCCTCACAGGAAAGCAGCAGCAGGCTTTTTCTCGATTGTATGAAATTGTATGATGAAAACAAAATGAAAAAATCCCTGTCCATCGGTGGTGGAGGCCGCAGAGATTAGGCGTGGAGAGTTAATGGAAAGGAAGCTTTGGAAAGCAGTGGAAAAAGGGGGGGGGGGGGGGGGGACTGTCACAGAAACTCTGGGAGGTGCGAAAAAGATCCGCTTTGCACACGGATTGTTCAGGAATTCTTGTGAGTTTTTTTTTAGGGAGTGACCCCCCAAAAACCACTCGATGAGGCCCCCCCCCCCCCTCTATGATTTCATTCATTGCCTCTGCATTCAGCACCTGATAAAGAGTGCCCCGCAGAAAGAGAAGAATCCACAATGGGGGACAACAGTTGTTCGATGCTTTGTGGGGTGTCCAATTTGCTCGGGGAGCTCTAAGCCGTACTGTAAAAGCTGCCGCATAGTAATGTGCCGGCGCTGAAAGGAACCAGTGGGCGTCTCCGCACTATTCTCCCAGTGCGAGGGAGGAGATATAATCATTAAAGCAGCACAAAAAACTGAAGAAATACACAGAAAAGACTGAAAAAGTGGCTTTAATTAAATGTACGATATCTGCGAATTTCACAGAACTGTGTTAGGTTAGTGGAAAGCAATAATATTACGTTTAAATACTAAATATTAGGATCAAATTAGGTTTAAAATACATGGTGCTTAAAATGGGCCATTCTGCATATTGAGTACTTCTACTTTTGGTACTTACATTTGATGTTAATACCATTTTGAATGCACTACTTTTACTTGTAACTGAGTATTTTTACACTGTAGTATTTGATAATTTGAGTAAAAACTGAAACGTTGACATTTTGTTGACATACAATGAATTAAAGTCAGTTTTCTCAGTATCAGAGGTGGAAGAAGTACTCACATTATGCAACAGCTGCTAAACTACAGTGTAATAATACTCAAGTAAAAGTAGTGCATTCAAAATTGTACTTAAAGTAAATCAAAATATACTTTAAATACCAAAAGTAAAAGTACTCATTATGCAGAAGCACCATATATATTTTAAATATATTGTATTGTAATTATTGATGCATTAACGTGTGCATCTCTTCAATGTTTCACCTGTCAAAAGAGGGGTTTAATTAAATTACTTGATGTAATATCGGGTCATTTAACATATAATAATATATGATAGGGATTTAATTAATTTATATTTCGCTTTAATATTCAAAATCTGCAAAGTAATGAAATGTATTGGAGTAAAAAGTACAATATATGCCTCCAATGTAGTAAAAGTAAGAGTAGAACAATAGGAAAATACTCAATTAAGTACAAATACCTCAATGTTTGTGTACTTGTGTTCCACTGAGTTCAGTACATATACAATCTATAGTCTGTTCATAAATCAGTGATAAACACGAAGGCCTCTGCTCACATTAGATTTGAATGGCTGCAGATATTAATAATGCATTCGCTTTAAAGAAAAAAGCATATACAATTAATCGCATGTCTTTTTGTGAATGCATTGCTAATGGAAAAGAAAGGCATCAACAAAAGTCCATGTTTTCTGCTTTGGCAGGCGAACATTAACAATGCATTACTGCTGATTCCACTGCAATCATCTCCGGCCAAATGCGCTTTATTTTCCCGTCAAAATAAACTTCATTTGTCATTTCACTCCCGAGTCGACTCGCTGCTTTGTCAAATGAGGTTTCATGGAGAGGGATCGCATCTTTCTGCTCGAGTAATGGCCCATAATTCACGGCTCTAACTGTAACCGCTCAGTCATCACACACACACACACACACACACACACACACACACACACACACACACACACACACACACACACACACACACACACACACACACACACACACACACACACACACACACACACACACACACACACACACACCCTCTTTATCATGGCTGCCTATTGATTCAGACGAATGCGGCCTGACCCCAGCTGCTTGATCACGTCTGGTTGCAGTTGTTAGTAACAGTAGGATTGTATGACTTGTCGCGACTGTATGAAGAACTCAAATTGTGTTGCATCATGTCTTCCCCCTCTGACACTGAGCAAACCGACATGTTGATTCCCTTTCCCGTGCAAACATTAGATTTTCAATCGTTGCACATTCCCGCTACATCGGCGATATTTGAATTTGTATCTGAGTATTTTTACGTCTTGATGATTTGAGTACAAAACTGAAACGTTGCCTTTGATTAAATGCATTATGTCAACAGATTCCACATAACTGCATTAGGTCAGTTGATAGCACTATTACATTCATGTTGACAATACTGCATGTTGTATATTCTATAATTGATTGCATTCTATTTCAATGTAAATTATTTTATTGCTATCTCACTTTATTTTGAATACAGTGTTCTTAAAATAGCTATCTGTGATCTTTGTACGTCTGCACCACGACATCAAGTCAAATTCCTCGTACGTGTCAACTGGTAATAAACCTTCTGAGTACTTCTTCCTCTGACAGTGAAAACACTGACTTTAATGAAATGTATTACATCAACACAT